AACTGGCCAAAGACGTCCCCGAGTGTTAACGCGTCTTGGTTTTAGAGATTCTTGGTTTTAGAGATTCCGGCTTTTAGTATTCCGGGTTTTAGAGATTCCGGCTTTTAGTATTCCTGGTTTTAGAGATTCCGGCTTTTAGTATTCCCGGTTTTAGAGATTCCGGCTTTTAGTATTCCGGGTTTTAGAGATTCCGGCTTTTAGTATTCCGGGTTTTAGAGATTCCGGCTTTTAGTATTCCGGGTTTTAGAGATTCCGGCTTTTAGTATTCCGGGTTTTAGAGATTCCGGCTTTTAGTATTCCGGGTTTTAGAGATTCCGGCTTTTAGTATTCCTGGTTTTAGAGATTCCGGCTTTTAGTATTCCTGGTTTTAGAGATTCCGGCTTTTAGTATTCCCGGTTTTAGAGATTCTGGCTTTTAGTATTCCGGGTTTTAGAGATTCCGGCTTTTAGTATTCCGGGTTTTAGAGATTCCGGCTTTTAGTATTCCGGTTTTAGAGATTCCGGCTTTTAGTATTCCGAGTTTTCGCGTTCCCCGTTACGTTCCCCGTTCCGTTCCCCGATTCCCCGTTCCTGGTTTTAGAAATAGCTGGTTACTTTGCTAATATTTAAACTGAAAAGGGCTTGTTAATTTGGACGGGGGGAGAGCAAAAGCTGTCACTACGAAAGGCTGGTGTCCCCTAGTTATATAGTAAAAGCTAGCCAATGGGTCTTTCATCGGTAACCAAATTGCTATCATAGGAAATTTTATATTACAAATATCATATTTATGAGGTTTATCTCCACTGTGTCTTCTTTGATAGCATTAACCAAACTACTACCATGCGAAAATGTTATGTCACAAATATCACTTCATAAATTTTTTCAGGCGTGTTTTTTTATACCAAATTGCCATTACTAAAGGACTAAAATGAAAAAAATCTTCTTAGAAACATCACATTCATAAGGGCTCTCTCCAGTGTGTGTTTTTTATGTCTATATCCAAAATGATGACCACTATTTGAAAATCTCTTCTTACAAACATCACATTCATATCGTTTCAAGTTGCTCATCGCCCTCACTACGAACTTTCAAAAAACAAACAAAATTAATCTATTCAAACTTCAAATCCCAACTTTTGAATTTTCAATTTTAGACGAGTTAAATTCCCCAGCACAAAAAGTACTAGAAAAAAAGTAAGAAAGTACCTGGAGACCAGGAAACACTTGATGTTAGAATTATAGCTGTAGAGCAATATGAAGCACGGAAAGTTGCGTTTGTTACTAAAGTCTTGTTAGTGGCGTCAAGCCCGTTTAGCTTACGTTTAAGCTAGTGGATAAGTCAAAATTAAATAACACTCTTACAACTCTGTCGAATGAGTCAACTTGAATATTATGCACTGAATATGTATAGTTTGAAGGGTATCTTTCTATTAAGGCTAAAAACATTTTGTTTGCTCGTTGAATAAAACTTGATTTCCATTTTGAATTTATCCACCGTTTAAGCTAAACGGGCTTGATACAACCGGCACCAGCATGAAGAGTCAGTGGGGTGGATATATTCATATATATTCATATATATCCACCAAACTTATCGATGCTGGCGACGCCACTGGTATACTTCACGGTCATGACGACTCCCCCTTCTTCAAGTGTTTTGAATGAAACTGCTACGAAAGTCCGACATCGTGGCTTGTGGCTTGTGGGGGCGCAGGCAGACCAAATTATTTTTGAATGATGTTTTTTCATGATTTTTTACTGTGCTGGTTTGCGTCCCTAAAGCTTAATAATATGAAATATAAAGTCGAAGGGGGTGTGCTGCAAGCTGTGACCACACACTTTTTTGGAAATGGGCGCAGCCCTCTCAATTCAAATTTCGTTCCGATGGGCTTACAAGAAGGAGATCGAAAACCATCTCAACAGCTCCGACGCCTACCGCAGCTATAATATACTTCCAACAACGAGTTTTTACGTAAGATTTAAAAAAAAAACTACCACCCTGTCTGACACACACTTCGCACAATATTTCCTGATATGCCCATTTCGGTTTCTATTTCCCAAAAAGAAAACCGGGAAATAATTTGATGCCTTCAAAAGCGTGTGTTGTCCATTTTTTTTCTGGAAATTATCATCAGTGTATGGCTCATACATAGGTCATCGGAGTATGACTCTTACAACGTAAATTCCAAAGTGGAAGCGTTCCTAATGGCATTGTTACACTATGCAATTTTCCCTATGCAACCTCCAATGCGATTCAACTCCTGGTGCATCTAAAGTCTTACTTTCTGCATTTCAAACACTCTTTACAAATTAACATGGCTCAAAATCATAATTGCATTGCAAGCTGCAAAGAAATTTGCGTAGTGTAATAGCGCTTCGAATGCGACTGAAGGTATTTAGTGAATGATGTTTGTTTTTACTCGCCTCAGCGGCTCGTCCAATTTTGGCAAAATTTTTAAATATAACACGCGCTGTTAATCCCTAACTGTGCTCCTAGATCGAGTAATCAAAAGTCTTACGATATTAAATTACACTGTCACACGTTCTGGCTTTGATCTGTTTATTATCATAAATGTTCGTCTAAAATACTCTATTCGTCAACATTTCAATCACATCTCTTCTTCGTAGCCTCAAAAGCAAAATATCCTCATTCTCCATTTCTCCGTACTTTCCCAACATTATATCGTCTCTTCGTCACTACTTAAAATAGACTGTTCACGTGTTCAGCGCATGCAATCATTATTGCATGTTATAATTATCTCGTAACAAAAGGGGCAAATTTAAATCTGATGAGGAATCCAAGCTGATAAAATGCATGCGGTCGTTCGCTTTGTAGGCTATTTGTCATTCTGGATTTCAGATTGCGAAAACACTGGAAGATAGAGTCCTGGGCTCCGTTGTATCAAGCCCGTTTAGCTTGAACGGCAGATTAGTCAAGATTAAATAACACTCCTACATCTCTCTTGAATGAGTCAACTGGAATATTATATGCATTATGCACTGAATATATGAAGTTGTAAGGATTATCTTTGTTGTAAGGTTAAAAGCATTTAGTTCGCTTCTTGAATAAAACGGCAGACGTAATTTCAATGTCAAACTTAACAACCGATTAAGGTGGCTCCCTACAGTTTTAAGAATATTGAAATATTTTCCTATGATATTATGTGCATGTATGTTTCAAATTTCTCTTATCTTCACCATAAATATCAAGGTTGTATGTAAGCTTGCATGCAAAATTAAAGTCATAAACTTGGTAGTTATAATCGATGACCAACTATTTTGGTCAATGAATCCGGGATACCCTGCTGTTCGATATACAGGGTATATAAAAAAAAGGTAATCCAACTTCAACACGCTATTGTATATGTGAACTACCCAGTCTATGAACGAAATTTTTCCCATTCGGAATGATCAGGCTTTTAGCTATCGCATGACATGCTTTTAATACAAAATGATGAAACAATGAGCATATACCAGGCTGATAAAAAATATTAGTCACATGCAATCGCATATTTTCACCTTTGAGCCTAATTAAAGCAGTGTATTGATAACAAAAGAAGTACAATTAATCACGAACATGTCACAGCTTGCATGGTTTCATAACATGTTTATTTGCAATTATTTACATTTACCTTCTTAAAAAGAGATTTTGCGCCGATGTCTTTAACTTGACCACCATCTCTATCGATAGAAAATTGACATCGCCGCCACATTATTGCTCGGAATTTTCTCCTGATGTGATTTATATATGCCTACTTAATATGCATATGCGGGTAGTTCATTCGGAAGCAAAATTCTTCACAGCAATGTCTAATGTTAATGTTCTGTTTTGACACTATAGGCGCATTTCATCTAGTGAAAATTAGCTACTCGAAGTGCTCGAACGAAACACATATGCATTTGCATTCAACAGAAAATTTGAAAGCCAATTAAGCAGCTTATATTAACTCCCATTATAAAAGAGGAATAGAACTATATATAATTTTTTTCTCACATCCTAAATGATTATAAAGATGCATGTATGTATCAAATTTCTTTAATCTTTATTGTAAATATATAACTTCTCAAGGTTATGTAACCCAACATAAATCCCTTTGAAACTTATATCTGGCAGACTACATTTTGTGATTGGTTAGAGGCATAATAATTGCAAACACCGACATTGCAGCCAAATGCATACGATGTATAGTCAGTATAGTTTAGCTGTTAAAGACAGATTGTTATGCATAATGTTATTAATATAAAGGGAAGTTTGATATTTCACACAACAACTGAGCGAAGTTTATTGTTTTAGTCTAGCTTCTGACTATAAGTTCCAGCCATTAAAGGGATTTATGATGGGTACATTACCTTGATAAATTGTATATTTATACTGAAGATTAGAGAAATTAATTTTGATACATACATGCATGTATATAATCATCAGGAAATGATGAAAAGATTACCCTGCTGCATGTGAGTATACTCAACAACAACACAATACGGTTGCTCGTGGAAAGCGAGAAAATGGACTTCATTCATAAATCACTAATAATTTTTACGCAATTAACTGGAGGAAAATTTTGCTCATGTTGATAATTGAGTATACGAACAATTATTGTTTCCTCTTTTATAATGATGGAAAGTCATATAATTTATAGAGGCAACGAAGCATATACGACTACTTCAAATCTCATACGTGTACTTAATTATTTCGCAACCACACGATACGGTTGCTCGTGCAAGGCGAGATAATCGAATTCATTCAAAGATCACGAATAGTTTGCATGCAATCAACGGGGGGAAAATTTTGCTGATGTAAATGATTAGGTACAAGGACAAAAGTCCGCGGGAGGGACGTTTCCATGCATGTAATTCGGAGAGGGGCCTGAGTGTTTCTTAAAAAAAAACACTTAGTGTTTCTTAAAAAAAAACCACTTATCTTAATCAAGGCAAATTTGAATACAATTCCTACGAGCCTATTTATGATAATTAGAGTGAGCATATAAAAGTAAGTGATTTGTTCATGGATTTTATTAGCTTGCGACGACATTGGAACCAGTAACCGCAAACGTTGAAGATATTTCAGGTATGATGGAATGTTTTTTTCTTATTCAAAAATCTTTTACTAATGCACGAACGTTAATTTACACGCCGTCATAGGAGCATAATTCTACGTAGGTAACCTTAGGATTTGAGAGCGCTACTTGAATATCAAGCCTACATTCATATACTTAACTATAGAAAATAAATCTTACGCAAGATATTAAATATTTTAATACAAGCCCCCGTTTGAATAAAGAGGGCTAAAATTTTCTATAATGTGAACAGCGATGAAAAAACATTGAATATGGCGACATTCTACTGCACGAATAAGAGAATAATCAAGTTTCCACAATTGTTCACGTCATGTGATGTCATATTACATATTGCTAGATGTCGTTACTTATCAGCACTATTCATTTTAAATTTGTGAAACATAACCGGTATATTTGTCATATAATTTTTATCGTATAACTTAACTTCATCTCTTCATGCATTGTTAAATGAAGTCATATAATAGTTGAAGCTGCATGTCTGCAGACACTATTATTGCTAAAACCAAAGGTTTCAAAGTAAAAGCAAATTCCGAATAAACAAGAAATCTTGAGAATCAAAATATAATTCTAACAAGACACAGATTAGGACTGAATTTTCGACTTTATCACAAAATAATCTTCATTCTGTCTGAAGGGTGCAAAATGAAACGTGATAACTATCCACTATATGGATACTGGAGGTGAAACCATCGGTTTAACTTTAAAAATGTTTTTGAAAGTGTGATTTGAATTTTTGAATTTTTGTGATTTTGTGATGTTCTCAGTTATGGTTTGCAGCATAAATACATTTACTTAAGATGCGACAGTTTGGAAACTGTCTGTTTTATTTGGCAAAAATACAGGTAGTACCAATCGGTTGTGTATACACGAGCCGAAGTGCGTGTAGAATTACGTTTCTCTTTGCTGAAAATTATTGCCAGTGGGAATGGTAATAGAGGACCTTGCATATCAACTTGAATAATGATTTGTAATATAGAGATAAAAGTACATTAGGAAAATTTCTACCCACTTAATGTTGAATCGTGATTAAGTAACGAGTTTATTATTGATCTGTGTGTTAAAATTTATTGTAGAATAACAGCTGAAAAGGAAAGTTTAAACGACAATGGCTTCTTTGAAATTTGCTCTTTTTCTGGCTTTCGTTCTCCTGAATGCAGCCGAATTTGGTCAGTTATTGCATAAATTACATGCATCAAACTCTATTACATTATCCCACCAACTATTTTCAGTATTTTAAGTATTTCACAGTAAGGCAGCTATAGTCCTTTCCAGAAAAATGTGGTCTGCAAAAAAAGTGAATTAGGGACTTAAAATTAAAGTTTGATTTGAGTTCAGGGCCGTTGCTAGAACGATAACTGGTAAGGTGTTTATTCCCATACTCAGTTCGGCCCGGTTCCAAAATAAAATTAGTCTGGCGGAATGAGTATCTGAAATCCTACCGCTCTCTGAAAGAACTCTTGTTAAAATAAAATATGGTTGATGAAAGATTTAAGTCCCAATAACAATATATGTTTATATATGCACTGTTTCGCAGCTAATTTCATTTAATTTGTACCAGTGCAAAAATAAATGATATCCAAAAGTGCTTTACATGTGACAGATATTTTTTCATTATGAAAATCCTTTTTAGCTTTCGCAAAGTTCACGGTAAGACACGAGCAATATGGTTATCTGTGCAGCTTTGGAAATTCCTTAGGTTTCTCGACGGCAACACCTTCCGCTCCATGTTTGTTTCAATTTCTTCCATCGACAAATGCCATACAAGATTTGGCAAGTGGGAGATGCTTTAATGTTATAACCTCATCCAACAAACAAGTTGTTCTCCAACCATGTTCTTATAACCCACTACAGTGGCAAATTACCGACGATGGTCACCTTAAATCAGTACAATATAATCAGTGTTTAAGTGTGTGGGGTGCAGTTATGCCTGGTCTTAATGATTGTGCTAATTGGAATAGAATGGTCATACATCAGGTTCAGCAATGAAACAGTACGTTATCAGCCATATGTACTATCTAAAACGCTATAGGGCCGCTAGAACAAGAATGATTGTTCATTTCTCCTAGAATTCTACAAAACAAAGTAAAGCTAGTATAACGATTGTTGTCCCAAAATGACCTCAATCTAATTTTTCTTTTTTCATTTTTTTCAGAAGCGTAAATAAACATTGAAGAAAACGTGATAAGGATGAGCTTTTTTGTTGTTTAATTTTAGTTTTGCATGCATTTTTGTTGGTAATTTTAATCGAAAATAAATTGATAAAGTGTTATTTTTGTATTTCTTTGCTTTATATACATTTTAGTAATTGACACAGAAGACTGGTATTTACTAGATAAGTGAAGCTTTTATTACATTCTCACTCACAATGAGCAATTCGTCCGAGTTGCATGACACATCAAGTGTCATTGGAACGCTTTATTCAACCATTATACCAAATTGAAGTTTATTATTTCACAGCAACACATATGTATTTATATTTAATCACATTTATCTCCGCTCTGGTTTATATATTAGCTATAACTAATGAATGTAATAACCACACTACGATTACATTCACGACCCACTAAGGATCATTATGGAGAAAGGCGTTGCGGTTTAGAAACATGGCATATCAATGTAGGTTCTTGTGATCTATATAGATAGGGATAACAGAAGTCATTTACCTAAAGAATATTTACATCTTGTTGCCAAGTGACGCCATCGACGCCAAAGTTCCCAGTCTAATCATCAGATCACCTTGATGAGGAAACTTTTTTCTTGCATGTTTGGTGTTATGAGTGAAATTTGAAATCAAGAAGTGTGACGTGAGATTAGTCACTACCACGGACATTACGTCATATACTATAATTAAATCTAAAGTATGATGTCGCTGCATGATGTACTATATTAATATTTTAACTTCTTAAAAATTTGGAGATTAGAGTATCTTAATTTATTATAAGTTGTTAGTTGTTTTAAGTCATAATTGTTGTGTTCGAACGGCGCTGCAAAAAAGAAGATATTATCATTGTTATTTGTTGGGTTTCTATGAGTATGAAAGCAATATAGTCGGAAGAGACATACTAACTCGAGAAGTGTGAAGAACGAAGTCTGCAAAGCAAAGCTGTGTCATTGTCATTTGAATGAAAAGTTTAAACTGTCGTGATTCTTCCTTCTTTCAGTTTTTCTTTTAAACATGCATGAAATATTTAAAAAATTCTACAGACTTCTCGCTTCTCGTTCAGGTGAACGTACTAGAAGGAACTGAGGTTCGTGTGACCTACAAATGCGACGCCGATTACAGAACATGTCTTTGGAACGCTTTATGTTGCCTATATCACTCGTAGAATTTACGCATTTGAAAAGAATGTAGAAAGTTAGTTAATATATTAAAAAAGTTTTTTGATTTAGTGCGACAATTTTGAAGATACTAGTCTTTAAACTACCTGCAGTTCCTGAGTCCCAGGCTCCTGTAAACAATGGGCAGTTTCAAATTAAATAGCCGTGTTTAAACCCAGGAGGTTGGGACTCAGGAACCGCAGATAGTTGAGTTGCTTGTATCTTAAAGATCCAACGAGTGCATGACATAGGCACTTTAAGGCTTGGTTACAAAGCACGTAGCCATGCTTATTTAACTGGATTGAGCCACCGAATAATATAATTAACTGACCCAATAAATACTGAACTATATATGCATGTTACTTACTGAACCATGCATCTAACGTTTGGATCAGTATGCACTAAGCAATTTCATTAACCAGATATATCACAACTGAGACTAACTGGATTGAGAGTAGAAATGCAACAACTGGATTGAGTGTAGAAACGTTATTTACTTCCTCTTTTGAATTATTTGACACTATTGCGAAACATGATTAGTAATAAGCGCGTGAAATTTGCATTTGTCAACGAAGTATTTAAATTTCGTCTTTCGTCTATTTAAAAATATTATTTTATCTCTGCTGTTTTTAATTATTTGTTTCAATATTTACATTTTTCTGATAAAAATCATTAACTTCCTAAATACTTGCTTTGCTAATAGCATATCAAGCCTTGGCATCCGTTAACGGTTATGCGAATAACCTTCTGCAATTGCAACGCAACAGGAATCAGTGTCGAAAATGCGGTAAGAAACAAATTTAATGTTGTTTGGTATTGAATTTCTAAATTTTTAATGGTGCTAAATGTATCGCCCTGAAAATTTGTAAATTTAAGTAAAATAAGGTGATGTTTTAGGCAGGATTAAAAACAACAAAATATTTTAATGTCAACTCTGTTTTACATACATTTTAACACAAGACCCACGAGTTCCTATATATCTTCCCATAGTCCCTTTCGGTCTGTCTTTTAACACCGTAATACTTTATGTAACATACACTACATCTCCCCCTTACTTAGAATGAGATTTCAACTTCACTAAAATGTTCACCGATGTCCTTAAACTAATATAACTTACTAAACAAATATATAGTCCTGATATTTTAGTGGCATATTACTTTGGCGCGAAGGTCGCGCTTCAGCTTCAGAGTTTTGCGTGGCAGAATCAGTTTGATTGTCCCCTGGCAATGCTTGTGAGGTTGCTTGGCTTAACGGTTTCGCTAGTTTTTTTACATGTGCAACATTACGCATCTTTCGAACTCCTTCTTTATTCTCGATCAATACAGCATTTCCTTCTCTTTGGACAACTTTATATGGTACTGGTTCAAAATTTGTGTCCAATTTGTTCTCGCGGTTTTGCTTTAGCAGCACCTCATCGCCCTCGACAATAATGCTGATGTCTGCAGATCGTCTTACATCGGCGTGCTCCTTCTGCCTCAGTTTGTTTTTAGCATCTCTCTCTCTCTCAGTAGCTGTTTCCATTCTGCTTCAGTAGCCCGATCCGCTGGTATGTGTAATCGAGGAAGCTTGTCGCGGAACGTTCTACCCATGAGGAGTTTGGCTGGCGACAAACCTGTTGTAGAATGAGGAGTTGTTCTATAGTGAAAGAGAAAATTTTCCAGTGCGGTCTTCCAACTTGTTCCTTCGACGTTGGCAATTCGAACAGCTTTCAGAACGGTCTGGTTGAATCGTTCAACTTCTCCGTTGCTCTGAGGCCAATAGGGAATTCCTTTGCTGTGTTCAATTCCAAGATGTTCCAAAAAACTTTCAAACTCCTTGGGTGCGAAGGGAGGTCTGTTGTCACTTCGGACGTTTTCCGGCAGACCATGCGTTCTGAACATGCCTTCCATTGCTGTAATTATGTGCTGAACATCAGTTTTCTTAACGAGCACCACTTCAGGCCAGCGGGAATAATTGTCTATGATTACTAAGAGGTGATTACCACCTGGTATTTCTAGTAGATCGATTGCAATGTCAGTCCAAGGACCTTCAGGTAGCTTTGTGGATCTAATGGGTTCTGGTTTGGTTCGTGGTCCCACTAATTGACATGGGTAGCAGGTTTCGACTAATTCTTCAACATCTTTGTCCATATTGGGCCACCATACCTTTTCCCGTAGTCGTGCTTTTGTGCTGACGATGCCCTGATGGCCTTCATGTGCGAGGGACAACGTCTGTTTCCACATGCTTTCAGGCATGATGATGCGATTTCCACGCATAACTAACTGTCCCAAGACCCAAATTTCATCAGCTAGGGCTTTGTACATTGAACCAGATAAACGACTCTAGTCTCCGGTGGTGACTGCATCTCGAACTAACTTTAAGGTGGGGTCCTTTTCAGAAGCGATTTCTACTTCCTTTGCTGTTAGAGTTGAAGGTATGGCTTCGGTAGCGAGACTACATGCGTATTGCTTGGTGGCGGTGGCATTGGTATCTTGAGCAGGACCGACAGGCAGGCGACTGAGAACATCAGCTGAATTATCTTTGCCTTGGATGTGAGTTACTTTATAGGAGAATTGCTGCAGGTATAATAGCCACCGTTCGATTCGAGCTGATAGGTGTTTGCAATTTGGTCCAAGAACACTGAGCAAGGGCTTGTGATCTGCCCGTATTTCAAACTCAGTTCCGTATAGGAAAAGGAAGAACTTTTCACAGGCCCACTACACAACTAGGGCCTCCCGCTCAAATTGCGAATAACGTGGCAGGCGAGAATTCTACCACTGAACCACCAGCGCAACGCCACATATTGTAGTCAATTTCGGCAATAACCTTACTCCGGATCCGCTGTATGAAACATATTTTGAATCAACGTATTTTGTTTTACAGGAGTTCATTTTGCGATGCATGTTCAAGTAAATGTTTGCATTACACCTATAAATTAGGTGCCATTCTACACGAATGAAACTTAGAAATTCAATTTTTAATTTCGTAAAGAGGGATTTATCTTTTAACGATTGCTGAAAAAGATTTAAGGAAAGGCAGCAATTGGGGGATTAGCTCAAATGGTAGAGCGCGCGCTTAGCATGCCCGAGGTAGCGGGATCGACGCCCGCATCCTTCAAGATATTGTGCTTTGGATCTAAAAATCATGCTTCAAAAAACCGTGGCTTTCCGTTGAATGTTTTTCGTAAAAATTTTAAAAATAATATTCATTCCTAAGTTTTTAATAATATTATCAAAATTCTATTAACTATTGTATGACAAATATTGATTGATCAATAAAGAAGCTGGCCGTTATCAGCCTTCGATAGCTCAGTTGGTAGAGCGGGGGACTGTAGATAAGTAAACAAACATCCCTAGGTCACTGGTTCAAATCCGGCTCGAAGGACAGTTCCATGGAAAATATTATGAAAAATATTTTACTTCCCTAAGTCAAATTTATATACTGGCAATGGAGTAGAAATTTATTAAATATATGTATGCATATTTATAACAACCTGACATTTTGAAATTGCCCAGTATGCTCCATTGTTGCCGTGCAGAATATGAATAATGCCTGAAGAATATGAATACACGTTTTAAGCTGTATGCCGAAATAGCTCAGGTGGGAGAGCGTCAGACAGAAGATCTGAAGGTCCCTGGTTCAATCCCGGGTTTCGGCAGGAAATAATTTGAAAGACTTTGTCGGTTAGCTTGGTATGTCTGCAATATATTTAAAATAATGCTTTCATTTTGCGGTTTTCGCATATAGTTTGTTTGAGTAATCAAGTGTAAAAAAACCAAAAAAGATATGTGTCATTGTAACAATAAATTTCAATGCGTTACGGCGGCTCTGGGGGATTAGCTCAAATGGAAGAGCGCGCTTTGCATGCGCGAGGTAGCGGGATCGATGCCCG